TTCTTGTTTCAAAGTGGAAGCTATTAAAGTCCCACCGCTTGTTGGAAACATCAGGCGTCAATATCTTAAGAGAATCAGGAGATATTTTATATAAGTGCAAGAGAGTGCTAGATAATGTATAATATTTGAATAGATGTCCATTGAATGTCCAGATGTATTGAAGAATGGTATTTAAAAGGGGAGTATTATTCAGTGATTAAGTTAGAGTTGTGTGAGTGTTGTTTAAGTTAAAGTTGAGTAAGCGTTGTTATAGTATTCTGTATGTATGCCGTATTATTTGTGAAGATGGGTTTTAGTATAAACAAAAATTTGTATATTTTATGCTAGACTTATATTTAATGTTTTAAAATTGGCAAGTGGAGGGCCAGGGCCCCTCGGTCCTCTTATTATCAATATTTTTAACAGGGTTTTCATCACCCTAGGTCTAAACATGCACCCCTGGATTTTTATAATGTTAGGATTTTCCTCATAAATATCTATAAATCAAATATTTTTTTCTAAAGTTAGATAGAGTACAGCGCACAGTGGAAAGAAGGGTGGCCAAAATTAAAAAAATTAATTATTTTTTTTGGATTTTCAAGTGGTAAATTGAAAAGCTAAAGCAATTACTATGAATATGTTAAAAAGTAAAAAAAAAAAAAAATTAATTATGAAATATTTATGTTCAAAGTCAAACTATTTGAACAAAAGTGTGCTTCAAGAGAACTTTTATGGGTGATGTTTCGTCCAATTTATATGGAAATACTTTAATATTTCTCCAGACATATATACATCGATGGAAAGGTCCTTGAGATTAGCTTTTGATCGTTGAAGTATTTTAAGAAAAATTCGAATGCAGTTGTGCAAGTAAGGGCAAAATATCACAAAATAATCGAATGTTTCAACTTTGGTGGAGCAGGAAAACTAAATTACAATTCTTTACAATGTGGTCTCATCTTTTAATAATGCTATACATGCTCTGAAAAATATTTGTGAAAAATTAAGCCGCCCTTTTTTGAAATATTTGATATTTAGTGATGCAAGGTCCTTGTAAAATGCCATTTTTCTACTACTGTTATCAGTAGCAGATTCAATTTTTTTAATGTTTCAGATTAGATTTTTTAGGGCAGTTTATAAACTTTTTAAACTAAGTTCATGCTTATTTCAAAATATAGTATTTAAAAAAAAAAAATACTTTAATTAGAACCTGCGGACTAAATACATCAAAAAGTTTACCGCCCCTGGCTCAAATGCCAGGGCATTGAGTTAATAAAATATTTAAGTTGACAATCTTACACTAAATTTAAAATCATTGACAGGTTTTAAATTTTATCTAATAATCTTTAAGTGTTCAATAGTTATGACTATTTAAAATTTACAACCCCTCAATGCATTGAGAGGGTTGTAAATTTTAAATGGTCAAAACATTTGACTTATTTATAAATAAATTTTGTAAATTTTAAATAGTCAAAACATTCGACTTATTTAAAATTATTTTAAATTCTCCTGTTCCCGTATGGGCTTTGGGCAAAGAAGCACTAAAGTGTTGCAACAAAATCACTAAAAAAGATCGGCTACAACATGCTCGCAAGTGCTCAAGAGAAGATAATTTTTTTGATGTATTTACACGTGCAATGAATTTATCAGATCCAATTATAAGTATTATTTTTAAGTACAAGATCTAAAAATAAAACTTATATTCTTCCAAAAGAAGTTACAGACCTTTTAGTACTAGAAGAAGTAGACTTTAATACAAGCAATGACAAAACGATGATGACACATCAGATGATGACAACGATATTGATTGATTTAATGAAAACTTTAATATAGATGTAGAAATTGATGATTATTAGAATTAAAAATAACACCACCCCTGAATTCTATTTGTCTATTATTTAGACGTAAAAAGTCCACAAGGTTGGTAAAAATTATTTCGTGGTTCTAAGCGAATTTGTTCACTAGCAACACGTTTTCACGACAAAGTTTTGTCCAAAGTTGCTGCCTCTTTATTAAGATCTTCGTTCAACAAATCCCTATGATTGCTTCCACATGGTTGGCAGTCCAATTCATTTTGTGATACCGCATCAGGTTTTGTTTTTTTCAAAAAGTTTTGTCAACGTATGGACGCAAAAAGAAAATAGAAACAGTCGTCTATATTGCGAAATTTTCAATTTTTTATAATTCAATAAAAAATTATTATTAACTAAGAAAAAGAAATTTGTACCTTACAAGCTGGCCTCTCCAAACGCCCTGGACACACAGCGACTGCCTATGATTTTAATTAGTTTTTGTAGATTCTGAATCCCTCTGAAATTCTTCAAAATAATAAACTCTGCTTATTTAAAAAATTTGTCACATTCACTGTTTAAAATATGAAAAACTGTCTAATTTTTGTTAAAACACCTTTTACAAAAACTCACTTTATGTGTTCATTTTTATTACTTTTTGAACTAAATGTAAAATTTTCTTAAAATTCAACATAATATTTATTATGTATTTCAAATATTTGACAAAATATATATTTTTTAAATTAAAATTTCCTCTCGTTAATTAGTCATATTTTAGTCATTTTTCCATTTAAAACAACGCCGACCCACCCAGCAAGGCAATATTTTTTTTTTTTTTTTTTTTTTTTCAGATTTGGAATCCCCGTAAAGTTCTTCACCTTGCCGTTTTTGAAACTGTAAAAAAAGTAAAAATTGACACACCCTACTCTCATAGGCAGTGGATGGCTGGCTTTGCTGCCCTTTAAATAGGTTTAAAACAGGCATGTCAAATTGGAAGCCCGTTAGTAAAAGCGATAGCTCTATTTCATAAGGGACTATTCATTATAGGATAAATACAGAGATTTAATAAAGTAGTTAGATAAATTTTTAGATGCCAATGAGTGCCAAAGATGTCCAGCTTTAATGTCCAAGTTGAGTGTTCTAAGCAGTCTAAACCATTCCATAAAAAAAGATCTAAATTTTTGGCAATGAAAACTATCTATATTGATCGTATTTTAAATATTATTATGTTTTTGCAAACAAACAGAGTCTATTTAAGTCGATATATTGAATTGTGTGTAAAACAATCAGTTTTACACACAATTCAAATAACTCATCACAATTCAAATAATTAATTTTTATAAATAAATTATTTTTCGGATGTAATTACATCTAAAACAACATTTCGGATGTAGTTACATCCGAAAAAAATCAGATGCGTAACTACATCTGGTTAAAATTATGCATTTAGAAAGAAAAAAAAAATTGAATGTAATTACATCCAATTTTTTTTTTTTTATACATAGCAAAAAACGGATGTTATTGCCCTGACCCGTCAAAACTATGATCTTAAAAAGATAAATTCTTAGTTAAATATATCAAGTGCTACTTAAAAGAAACACATTTGATATTTTGAATTTGTTTTTGCCTTTCCAATCCATGTTTTTGAATTACATAATCATACACTGTATGATTCTATCATATTACTGTATAAAATATACATTGTATTACAGGAACAACATTGTATTGCAGCAACAAAACATGGATTGGGTGGGTAATAAAGCTTTTTATATGCTCTAAGACAAAGCCCTGTAGAGGTTACATGAAACTTTCTCTATTGAACCCATACCATGTTTTTTGTGTGTAGTAATAATATCAAATATTATTTAAGAGTTATTTTTAGATGTTTTTGTAATATTGGTAATTTTTTTTGTTTTTTAGAAAATATTAAAATAATATAATTAGAACTTGAATAACATTTTTTATATGTTTCCTACAAAAAGCTCATTTTAGCCTAAGAAAAGGTTAAAATACCATACAAAATATCCCTCCACTTTAAAACCAACCGTTTAGAGTTTTTTTCTTAACAGACACTCCATATTTCTATTAGTTTAACGGAGAGAAGTGAATATGGCTGCAGGGCATGAATATCACCTCGCGCAAAAATAAGAAGACATTTCCAAGATGCTAAACAAGCTTCTAAGTACTGTCTACACAGTGATAGATTATTTTCAAATGACTAGTTGTGTTAAGAGGAAGCTTGGCGATAGTGTAAAGAGGTCAGTTCCAACTCCTCAATTGATCAAGGCTATCAAGGGCAAAATTTCTCTGAATCCAGTAAATTCAATGAGGAAAATGCCTAAAGAGCTCTCAATGAGTTAGTATACCATCAGAAACATGATCAGAAAGAATCTTAAGGCAAAGTTAGGAGCCAGGATTAAGAACCTTTTGAAGAAAAAAGATTTAAAAGATCAAAGGAACTTCTTAGCCTCCTGAAGAAGAGACCTACAACCATCTTCTTTTCAAATGAGAATTTGGTTACTGTTGATTCTATATCAAACAGCAGAACCAATTGTTTTATTAGTGATCAACAAGCCCAAGCAGTCTCAGAGCATGTAAAGTATACAATCAAGACCAAACGTCTGGCTTCAATTATGATGTTTGGCCTACTTTCTTCTGATTATCTCAAAATGCTTCTGGTTTTCATCAAATTTAATCAGAAATTAAAAAATAGTTTTTTAATTAGTGCTCAGTCTGGTTGTCCTGACCAGAAGGTAGCCAGTGGTTGTTTACAAATTCACATGTTTGGAATATGTTAATAAAATAATAGCTAAAAAATAAAGTTTTTTTTCAAAAATTTAATAGACTCGCTTTTCTCAATTATACTTAAAATTTTCAAAGTTTAAAAGTTAGAAATACTCAAAGAGCTAGCAAATTTTTGGTTGTACTCATTCTTAAGTTAAAAGTTTTGTTTTTCAAATACCTTCAATCTTGCTTTGTTTTCTAATCTTGTATTGTAAAACAAAAAAATTACTTTTTTAGGAAATTTTTTAATCTTATTTTTTAATTTTTTTTCCTCATTCAAATAATGAATATAGTTAAAAAAAGATGTTATAGCTTTGTTTAATTATTTTGAAAATGTTTTAGAAGCATTATTTATGCATTAATTATGTTTTAATAATTTGTTACACAGATATTAATTTTTGTTTGTATTAAAACTCTATTTATTCATGTGAGATTTAAATATATTATTAGGTATTGTGGCTTTTTGTATGTTGTTGTGTGGAATTTCGCTGGTATCTTCAAGTGGCTTTTATGCCTTCCAGATATTTGATGATTATGCTGTCTCACTTGGCCTCTTGTTTATAGCATTCTTTCAAACAATATCAATATCATGGGTGTATGGCAATGATAAGTAAAAGTTTTTGTTTTTAACTCTAGTTTAAGTTATTGAGTTCTATGAGCATTTATTAACATATTGTTTTTTAATTACATTTATAACCTGTTGGTTTCTATCTTTTAAAAACCAAATGACTAAAATTACTCTAAATCCTTACTAAATTTAGCTACATGCTAATTTTAGTAATGACAAATTGTAACAAAATCTTATCTTAAGTTTCTATCAAATCAGAGTTGCTCTCAAAAAATGGTTTATTTATTTTAAGTTAAATTGCAAATAAACACAAATTTTAATAATAAATTTAATAACTTTAAGGTTATTATTTGTAAAGCTATTAAATTTATTAGATTTTAAATATTTATTAAATTTTATAAATTTGTTAAATTCTATAAATTTGTTAAATTTCCTAAATTCATTAAATTTTATAAATTTATTAAATTTGTTAAATTTATCAAGTTCTCTAAAGTTTTCTTAGTAAAACCTTTAGTTAAAGAGTTCAAATGGATTAGTATATTTATTTAAGCTATTATTTGTTTTGCATTACATATGTAATAAATAATGAAGCTTATATAAAGTTTATGCTTTTTTAAATAATAAATTTAATTTTTTATAAAGTAATAAATTAGGCTATTTTTAATAACTAGTTTAATCATTTAAAAGTAACTATTTACATAAAAAATTTTAAATACTTGAATTAAATAAATGGTGATAAAATTACTCTTGTTAAAATATACACGATGGTGCTAAATTTACATTGTTTAATGATGATGCTAAATAAATGTTGTTAATGTATGCATAATGCAGGCCTCGGCAGAAAGTGAGAGCTTTAGCTCTTGGCCACATTCCCCTAAAACGGTTTACGGGAGCAATTTACAGCTCTTGCAAAAGTATTTTTTCTTTTAAAAGTTTAATTATCATTGTAATTAAAATGAAAAATGCAAAGTCAAAAAAAACTTAATTTATTGGATAATAAGCAGGCACAGTTTTTGCAACAACAAAAAAAATTTATGCTTAAAGAATTTTTTCATGGCGCAATAAATGACGTTTGTTTTGTGTATATTATTGTAACATTAACATTACAAACATATGTTTGTAACAAGTATAAATCCAAATTGTGTATTTAATAAGCAATTTTTATATGAATAAACAGATAGCTTGTGCAAAAACCAAAAGCTCTCGTAAAAAGCAATTTAGAGGAGCAGCTCGCTGGTTCGCCTTGTTTGCTTTAGGAGATCTTTTCTCCGCTCTCACGCTCATTTTCTCTGGCCAAGGCCTGATGATGATACTAAATATATACATGAAGAGGCTAAATATGTGTTGTTAATGTATGCGTGGTGATATTAAATATATGTTGTTAATGTATGCATGATAACACTAAATAAATGCTTGTTGATACTAAATACTATGGTGTTCCCCAATTATTTTTTGATAATTTTTAATATTTTGACATTTATTAACATTAGGACATTTAAAAAATCAATATTTTTGAAAAAATATCTGGTGGCATCCCCACATTATGTTCTTATATGTTAAAATAACACTAGATTGAAATTTTTTTAAATAAAAAATATTTTTAGGGATTACTACAGACTCTAGAGCATTAAACAGGTCTGCAATATAGAAAAAAAGTTTTCTAAATGTTGTGTATGGTAAAAATTTCCTATTGGTTGAAAACCAACACTAAAATATAAATCAAAAAAAAAAATTTATTTGAAATTTTTAAAAATTTTTCTAATATTTTGTCTTATTTATGCAATAAAGTTTAAAATAATAATTTTTTGTTAAATGATTATTTATAAAACTTTTATATAATTTTGATTCATTTGAAACCCAGCACAATATACTTTAAGAAAACTTTTTTTTTAATATAATATTATGGACCTGTTTATTGTTTGAGGGTCTGTAACAACCCCTAAAAATACTTTTTTATTCAAAAAATTTTTAAATCCAGTGTTATTTTATCATTATAAAACGCATTAAGAGATTGTCTGCAAATATTTGTAAAAAATTTATTTACTAAACCTGCAGTCTAAGTTGTTCAATCGAAATTTCATCAAAGCAAGAAACTTTTTGCACACAAAATATTGAGAAAATTATTGTTGTTAATGTTTTCTATATGATTGCTTATTTCTTTTTTTGATACGAAATTATGCTTGTTTATTAAAATTATTTTTGAAATAGATTTGCTGATGATATAGAATATATGACTGGAAAACGCCCTTATTTTTTTTGGATGATTTGCTGGAAATATATTTCTCCATTAGCCATTTTTATAATTTTTGTTTCTAACTGCCATCAGCTTGTCTCAAATAGCCTGAAATACTCTGCATATGTGGGATGTGCTCAACAAGAAGTTAGTATTTTTTGTTTTTGTTATAAAAACTACGTAAAAATTTATTGACTGTAAAACTTTTGCTATTGTCAGTTATATTCAAAATATCTCTCATATTTCAAATTATACATATTTTACACATATTTTTGCTATTGTTAGATATTCAAAATATCTTCCACAATTTATAGCATTCATATTTCTCACTGTATATGATATAATGTATATTATATGTTATAGGGTGTATTAGCCTTAGTTTCTTAATATATTGCACTGTATAAATTAACTGCTTAATTTTTAATATGGTCTAAAGTTTGTTTGACCACTTTCTTTTCTGGATTACATATCTTATTAACCAGCATTAGATAAATCATGACATTTTTCTGGATTACATATCTTATTAAACAACATTAGATAATCATGACATTTTCGTTGACTTATTTAAGAAAAAAATATTTGTTTTGTATTTTTTTTTTTTTTTTTTCTTAATTATTCAAAGTATTTAAAACATTAAAAAAAATTATATTTAGCATGATATATCACCGCTCGGCAAAGGTGTTAATGGTTCCATTGCGCAATTTGAATATCCTCCTTGGGCGTTATTTATCATTTTTATTTTTATTTTATCATCCTTAGTACCGATATTTTTTTTCATTATTAAAGACATTATTGAACATCCGTCATTATGGTTAAAAAATATTCGAAAAAAATTAACGAACATTAAGGAATATCATCCTGACCCATATAGAGTTGATCCTAGCAGAAGAAGGACTAACGAAGAAGTGGAGGCGACCATTATTAACGAATCGAAATTTGATGATTAATCGAAAATAGGTTTACATCTGAATGTTTTTAGTACGAACTGTTGAAATTTTAAAACCTGCTTTTCAATAACTGTAGAAACGTTGTACATCAGTTGTGCAATTTTTTTTTTTGCACAATATTTTTTGAAGTTATTGATTTGTTTCTATTTCTGCTACAGTTATTTTACAGCAAAATTTGTTAAACAACAGACATTAAGTTGTGCGAGTTACGCAAAAGAATGTTTTTGTATTAAAACCTAATTAATGTGCAGCTGTTGTACGACGTTAGTTGTTGTACGACGTTTTTTGTTGTACGACGTTTCTACAATAATTCAAAACCAGTCTTAAGTTTAACTTATTTTCAAATATTAGAAAGGGGGGGGGGGGGAGGGTTGATATTTGCGCCTGAGGCGTGTGTTCATATTTTATTTATTATCGCCTGAGGCGTGTATTTATATTTTATTTATTCGAGCCTTAGGCGTGTGTTTATATTTTATTTATAGAGAATTATATAAATTATTTCAAAAATTCGCTGTCTAAAGGACAAAAATTTTGTCAAAATCTTTAAAAATTATTTTAGTAGCAGAGTTACACGTGTTCAATTAAAGTTTTTTTTACATCTCAAATCTTGTTTGAATTAAAAAAGTTATTATTTGTTTTTATAATTCGTTTCTACGTTAATGCAATTTATTATTTATTAAAAGGTTACTTCTGTATTTAATAACTTATTTAAATTTTTATGATGTTCCGGATTAGTTTATATATTTTATTATTACAGTTTGACATATAATTTACGATTTTCCTTAAACGTGTTTTTGTTTAATTATTTTTGCGTTGAATAATGTGAATAATTTCGAAATTTTGTCATTACTGATTAAATTTCGATCATGTAAATCTTAAAATTTTAAAGACTCCAAAAAAAAAAAATTTCCTATTTAAAAAATTTATTAAGATAACAGGTTTATTTACTTTTTGAGATGTGTTTTTTTTTGGTTTTCAAATTTTTTCTGAAATAAGATGAAATAAATCTCTTAAAAAAAAGCTTTTGTGTTGATAACATTTTACCGGTCTAAACGGTTTACTTGATAACACATTACACAAATCACATTGACACATCTTTTTTCTCCTGTTCTTTATTGCTATTTTAACAGTGGCGCAGTGGCTAGAGTAATTCTCGGATCTCCCAGAACTAGGAGATCCAAGTTTCACTACCAGCTCTGGCCACATTTGCGACATTGGTAGGGAAGATGGCATGGGCTTCCTAGTTTAATGCCCTTCCGGGGTGCTTTTTGATAAAGACTTTTAGGACTTCTTGGAGCGTCTTAATAACCGCAAATAAATATATTTGTATAAAATTCTCAAAATGAATTATTTTGGAGCGTCTTAATAACAACAAATATATATATTTGTATTGTATAATTCACAAAATGAATTGTTTAAACTATAAAAATTACAATTAAAGAAATATACAAATTATTACAAGTTGTAAAAATATTAAAGATTACAATTAAAGAAATATACAAATTACAAGTTATAAAAATATTAAAAATTACAATTAAAAAAATACACTAACAGGTCTTGACGAGAACCGCAATAATAGTTGTTTTAAAAACTCTTGTGGTAAGTTAAAAGGTATTAAAAACTTGAGTGGTTTACAAACAAATGAAAAATTTCATATAATATACATTAAATATCCATTTAAATAAACGTTAGGGATGTTGCAGACTTTCACTACGGCTTCATGAGTCAAAAGTTTTAAATAATTTCAAATCAGAAGCTATGGCCAAAATCTAAATTTAGAACGCAGCGCATACTTGAGAGTTGTAATTCAAAACAATTATGTATTAAAAAACTAAACTAAACCATTTATTAAGTTGCTCATAACTGATGAATTGAAAATCTTAGTGAAGTTATGTAGGAAAACTTCTTTTACCTACGGCCTCGATTTACTAGGGCCACTTTATTTGAAAACTATGAAATTCTAAGTTATGCTTCTTAGGTGGTTAGTTATAAAAATATTTATTTATTAATCCTATTTTGATTCTCAGAGAGCGTTGCTACGGCAAGTTATAATCGGAAACGCTTTTGACGGTCTAAAGTAAGTTTTGGACGCTAATATCTTAAATTGTTTTGCAATCCTAGAGAAAATGCTTTTCTATAAGTTCTTGTATATTATATTTTTTGCTACTTAAGTATAGATGTTATGTTTAATAACTTTTCACTCAATCGGGGTTCGTTAATAGATAAAGTTTTACATGAAGCTATTATTTCTTGTATCTAGGGCAATGTAGTTTGCTTTTACCTAGGCCATATGTGCATGACGAATTTGATTGATAACGTGGTAGATTGTTGGATTTTGATTGGTGCAAATTTTTTTTTTCTAGCGGTTGTTACACCTAATTTTCAGAGAGCGGCCCGGATATAATAGATAGTGGCCTTAGATACAATTTAAAAATCCTTATTATACTTAGGGCCACCAATTTTTAAACCCTTCTACTTGACGGACCTTTATAGTTTAAGTCAATATTCTTATACTAATACAAATTAATTAGTACAGAGATGTGATCATATTATTTTCACCATTTTTAGACAAGTCTGGAGCTTTGAAATTAAACATTGAAAAATCTGGTCCTTGGTATACGAACTTCCTCTGCTCGTTATATAGGTTAGAAATGCAGATAAATGTCATGTAAATGTTGGTGCTTAGTATTGAAATTGTCTTGACTAGTAAAAGGGGAAAAAGACAATAGAGGAAGATTATCAAAAGTATATTAACAAATCAATTTTAAAATTAACTTTTTAAACTTCCGACTGAAAGATATTTTGTGATACAGTTGAAAAACATCTTTTTTATTCCAAAAAATAGATTTTTTGGTGGTCTGATTCAAAAATTTTATTATTACGTAAGGAAGTCAGCATCATAGGTACGAACAATGAACTATGCCTCAGAAAGGTAATAAAGTGATAAAAACTTCCTTTTTTATATTATAAACTTTTTTCTCACTCTCAGACATATATGTTAGTGATATTAGGGTATTGGGATAGTAATTTTGTTGTGTTAAGTAAGGCTTTTAGTATGGTAGAAAAGGTAAAATTCTGCCAGTCTCCAACTTTATTTTCTTCTTTATACTAATCAAAAGCAATATAAAAATCCAACTGCACAAAATTGCACAGTTTAGTTTGATTTGCATTTAAAATTTCAACCGATTATATGTATTGCAATCCCGAAGGTCATTTTCAATCCCGGAAATCCCAGGAAAAAAAATTCTATAGAATTTCTATAAACTTTTGAAACATATGGCCTACAGAGATTCTATAGAATTTTTTATAATTTATATAGAATTTCTGGTAATTTCTATAGAAATATCCTATATATATTTCTAGAGAAAAAAAAGTTTTACAGCAATTTCTGTAGAATATTTTTTCCAAGGATGAACTTTTTTCTGGGATCAAAAACAGATATAACATCTACATAGTATTAAATAGAATAAAAACAGTACATTTTTAACCAAAAATATATTAATTAAATGAGTTTACATTATATTGTTACAGTCTACATTACATTGTTACATGCATGGGAGAAAAATATGGTAATTTAACATGTTAGTTAACGTTAAGAAATTGTGGAATATATGGAAAAACAATATACCCCCCCCCCCCAGTCTTTAAAGGTTTTTTCAGTTTAAAACCCAGCAACAAATAAACTCTTAAAAATAAAAATTTTTATAACGAGCCTTTTTTTCTTTTTTTGTCTTTTTAAAAATAAAATTAAAAATCTAATTTTTTCCTTCCATAACATTTTAGAGTACTATTAATTGATTCATCTATTAATTATTTTTTTATTATTTTTCTCTAAAGTTTTGTTGTTTACAACTATTTATATTTAAAGACTTGCTTATGTAAAAAATTATATATATATATATATATATATATATATATATATATATATATATATATATATATATATATATATATATATATATATATATATATATATATATATATATATATATATATATATATAATGTATATATATATTTTACTTTACTGTAACGTATGCTTTACAAGGTATTTGTAAATTAATTTGTTTATAAATGTTTTTAAGGTTCTGATGATAAGATCTTAGTGATCTTCTTTCGGAAACCTAGTTTACACTGTTATCACGATTTGTATATATATATATTTGTAAAGTAGTTTTAATAGTTTATTTTATTGTAAAACGACTAACTTTGTAAACTGAAAAAAAAAAAAAAAAAAAAATAAATTATGTTAAAAATAAGAAAATATATTATTTATATATCTTATGCTTTGAAATGCGACATAAGGAAGCACAACGCGTTCAAAGTTTCTTCGCCAAAACAATAATAAATTTTTGTATAAAACAGTCTAGAGCCCACTCAGCCTTGACTTTTGCGGTTTCATGGTCATTAAGGCGAGTTTCCACTCATCCGTTTTTCTACTGGAACGGAAAAAATAATTACGTGAGCATGCGTAATAAAAGTTTTTATTTGTCCGAAAGAAAACTGCGCATGCTCACGTGATTATTTTTCCGTTCCGTTTCCCTTTCCCGTCGAAAAACGGATAAGTGGAAACTCACCTTTAGCTCATTGGGATTGTTCATAAATTAGGCAACGTTATATTTATTTAAAAAACTTTTCATTTAAGGCTCTACGAGGGAAAAAGTCTTTTTGTTTTGTTTATTAGTAAAATGAAAAATAGCATTAAAATTAATGGTGATATCTCTTATGATCCACGTGAAATAGCAATCGAACTAAACAAATTTTTTGTCACGATCGGACCTAATTTAGCAAGAAATATACCAAATATAAAGAAAACAATTGATATCTCATCTATTGCATTAGCTTTGAAGAATTTGAAACAGCTTTTAGTGCGCTAAAACCAAATAAAGCAGGTGGCTTCGATGATACAAATGGCAATGTAATAAAAAATTCATACAAGGTTATAAAAGACGTGCTTTTTAAAATTTTTTCACTTTCAATCAGACAAGGAATTTTTCCTGATCAATTTAAAATCGCAAAAATCACACCGATATTCAAAGGAGGAGACTTAACAAATATCAATAACTATCGCCCTATCTCTGTTCTTCCAGTCTTTTCTAAAGTCTTAGAAAGAATTATTTATAACAAAATTTACACTCATTTAACTA